GCTACCAAATTGAGTTCGTTTTATGGCAACTACGACGTTGCGGTCGTCGTTAAATGAATCAATCAATTCATTCTTTATCAAATTTTGTAGATTCTGGTCTTCTTTGTATCGCATCTTGACTCACATTAACAGCTCAAACGGTGTGCTGCCAATACTTCTGGTAAACGTTGAATTTATGGCGCGCTGGACGCGATCGGTGTGCTTGTACCATTTTGCAGGGTCATCCACGCTGAGTTTGGCAAGCACCGAGATGATTACAGCATTGAGTCGCTCCACTTGGCCATTAACTCGGGGTAGTCCTGTAGTTGTCTTGATAAGTTTAATGTTCTCGTCTTCGCAGTACTGTAAAAAATCAAGAGAGGTAAATGCTGAGCTTCTGTCAGATATAATACAGGCTGGATTTCCAAATACTGTGCTTTGGTTTCGTAACTTCGTGATGACTTCTTTGGCTGTCGTCGATTTTGTTGGGTAAAGCCAACAGAACTTCGTGAATGCGTCAATTACAGCAAATATGTGTTTGTAATCTTTATTTGTGGATTCAAGCGGTCCTAGAAAATCCATGGTAAGTCTGCAATGGTACGTCGTCTTTTTGCAAGGGATGCAAAAAACCCTCCTGCTTGCTGCGCTTTCGATTTACAAGCAATTTATATAGTTCTTAATTTTTTCGTCGATGTTTGGTATGAAATACTCTTTGCAGATCAGCTCCTTTGTTTTCTTGACTGCAACATTTCCTCTGTCGTGTGCTCTGCCAATAATTTGTCGCTGCATATTTTTCGGCACTACGATTAATTCGTCGTCGTTAACCAATTTATAAAGGATGCTTGCCTTCATAAAATAGCTCTCATAAGTTTCGCCGTCGTTGATAATCTTTGGTCTTCAAATGCTCGTCTTGTATTTATGCCTGCTCTATGCCAGTGATTATGCTCTCGTCAGTTATTCTCATAATTGGGTATCGGGACAGTGCGTCTACGTGTCTCATGCGTGATCCAGAACGATGTTCGATGTCATAGGAATACTCTTGCAAAACCATTATCCATTGTGCTACTCTTGTACAAAGGTTCTGCTTCTCCAAAGTTTTTGTAAATGCATTACAGTCAGTTATGATTTTGAAGTGCAGACTCAACAGGTAAACTCTAAATTTTGCATAATTAAAGATAAACTTTCTGAAATAACCTGTTAAACCCAAAAAACTTTCAAGTTGCTTGCGTGTCTGCGGCGTTTTAAATTTTGAAACAGCTTCAATCTTTTGTGGGGTCGGATACGTTATGTGTTCCAAAAAGTGACATTTTTTCAAATTCAGCTCAAGCCCATATTCTTTACAGGTATGTACAACTTCTTTAAGTTTTGATAATGCTTCCATCTCGTCTTTGGCTGGGATTATTATATCATCTACGTAGGGCAATGCTATACCTTGGCGTGCTAATGTTCGAAAAATCGCGTTGATGTGCCGCTGGAACACGCTTGGTGAATTCGTCATACCAAAAGGCACCTTACAAAACTGGTATTGCCCGCTCTGCGTCACAAATGATGTGTACTTTTTGCTAGACTCCGAAACTGATACATGGAAAAATCCATTTTCAAATCAATCGTACTGTATATCATAAAATGATCTTTGCACATTACCTTGTTAATGCGTCTGTAGTCGATACAAAGACGCGGTGTACCATCGCTCTTCTTTACAAGTACAACAGGACTCGTATACTCTGAGTCGGACTCTTCAATTACGCCATTTCGCAACCACTCGTCTACTTGTTCATCTATAATGCGTGTCTCTGAAATTGAAAATATACGGGGACGTGAACAAATTGGTGTATCATCTTTAAGAACAATTTTCATTTCAATGTTTGTTGTTTTCGGCTTGTCTGGCTTGTATTTCATTATTAGTTCGCGCACCTCGTGCTTAGCGTACTCACTGACGTCATTATTTATATCGAGTTCCATATTTTCCTGTATCATGTCAATTTTCATCATAATTGTTTCATCGTTTGCATCATTTTGTTCATCTTCAGTTTGCGTCTTTCGGATCATAACGCCATTGCGATTGAATGCAATTTCTGCATACATATGTACATATTTCTTCACCAATTATCATTTTAAGGTCCATACATTTGATTGGCACGACATAAAAATTTAGAACATAGCAATAGTCATCAATGCACACTTTCTGCTCAAACTGCCCAATCGGCTTAATTTTGTTTGCATTACTCTCGCTACCGAATCCTTTTAAAACAACAGAGCACTCCATTAGTTTTGACAAATTTAACTCCGTATACAAATCTTCACGTATCAAATTAAATTTACTGCCAGTGTCAAACAGTGCAACACACGTCGAGTTTTTCAATATAATTTCCTTGCTTGTTACGTCGTTTAAGCTTTTCACAATGCGCATGTTTGGTTTCTCATCTTTTTCTTTTTCGATCTTACAATTCTTAGAAATATGGACAAACTGATTGCATTTAAAACATTTTCTGTCCTTCTCTTTGTTTGTACAGCTATTAGATAAATGCCCATTCTCTTCACAGTTATAACATTTTACTTCTTTTTTGCCACTTTGGTTACCACTGTGCACGGCGCCTGCTTTTGTTTTGTCTTTGATTATTTTGTCGCTCTTTTTCATCTTTCTATTTATAATTTCGTAATCCTTTAATTTGCATTTAAACTCGTACAGATTTTTAGCACCATATAGCATCGTTTTGTTTGTGAGAGTTCATCAATTCCATCAATTACATATTGAATGAATGCTTCGTCCTCGACATTGGCACGGGACGCTATGTACGACGCTTTCATTCTGTAAAAATATTCTTGCATGCTCTCTTCGTTTCGGCGTTTACACTCAGTTAGTCTTGCATGTATTTGTTTACTACTTACTCTCGTTATAAATTCGTTTAATAAGGCCTGTTTTAACGCACTTCAAGTATTAAGGCGCTTTTCACTCAAAACGAACAATTTCGCTATTCCTTTTAGTGACTTCTTTGCAAATATTAATTTTTGCAGTTCACTCCAGCACATCAACAATGCTTGTTCTTCAAACTATGATATCCATGCTTCTATCGATAAGTCGTCACTGCCATCGAATGTTCGGATTGACTCTTCGTTATCTCGAAAGCTAATGGCAAATCGTGGTGCTGCCATTTCACAGCTGTTTTGTGGCTCTCTTCTTTGTGGTTTTTCTCCCATGTTTGTAACTACGCTCGCAAATTCGCCGTCGTCGCTTTCGCTAGTTCTGCCTTTTTTGCGTATATCTCCGTATCCTGCGTTTTCTTGTCCTTCGCCGTCGTCGCTGCTCTCGTCGTCTTCGTTTCCATTATCGTTGTTGCTAAGCAATTGGCCGGCTACCAAATTGCGAAATATGTTCAACTGTACATCATCAACGTTGTGGCTTATGCCCAATACAACACAAATCGATACAAGGTCACGATCGCTTAGATTTTGTTGTATGTACTCGCATTTTGCCTTGTGTAAGTCATCATTTTCGTTGAATTCGAATCCAGAAAATTCTCGCAAACGCTTTCTATTACTTCGGGCTCCTTCGGTTTCGAATACATATTTATGCAAAGCGCAAATGCTTGCCTTCGTTGCTGCCTTTAATGGCTTTGATATTAAATTATTTAAACAAGTCTCTTTTTTTTCAATTACGGTTTTTTTTTAAATCAAAATTTCACACGTCGTTGTAATTTAACCACTTTACTGTATTCCGGGACGAGCACCCAAAATGTGGGGTTTTTTATTTAATACAATATAATGTTTATTTAATCAAAAGGTGGGAATTAATAGAAATAAGTTTGTTTACATCTTTTAAAGTCAAATCAAAAATGCACGGCTTGGCTCAGCGTTCCAGTTCGTCGTCGTTTTTGCTCGACACTTCTGTCGAATTCAACCTCTTTCATACGTCTACTGGACGTCTTCCTGCTGTCGTCGATCGTCGTCTTCTTCTCGCCTTCTTCTCTTATTCGTCTTGCTTGTTGTCTAGGACGTCGTTTGGAAGGCAAAAGGGAAAAGGAACAGCACTCCTTCCCACATATATTTGATAAGTTTAATAATTACCAAGTTTTCTTATATGTTAATATTCCATTTATCGATATTGAAATGTTTTAAGAATATTAATTTGGATAGCTGCTCTGGCAATATGTGGTTATACTTAAAATACATCTTGCGCTGAAAGAAGCCTTTCGGTTGGCACAGAATTCCCAAAAAATACTTCTCGGCAATATGATGAGTAAGCGGAAAAGTCGTTTTAAGTGAATTCGAAGTCTGCAAAGGGCAGACGCTGTGATCTGCAATGCATGTCTATACATGTGTACACGTAAATATGTATGTACATACATTTAACATAGGCCATGTTAGTTTCCGTTACGTGTATATTTTGTTTTTTGCTAAAATCGGAATTTTCGATTGAAATGGGAATTACAACTTACTAGCACTTTTCTGCTTTACAATGTCCGTAAAACCGATGTTTTTATAAAAATCGATCGGATCATCGAATCGAAAAATAGCGAGTTAAAATCGAATACAAACGCTAACGTATAACCCGATACATCTATGTATCGATGCATATTTACATCACTAGTCAATTCTAAGAAAACTTACTAGCGAAACAATTTCACTCCAGTACTACGGCCGAAAACTGCAGCATTAGGTTCATCTTCGTATTTTTGCTTCTGCTAGGGGCGCATATAACTCAGTTAAGAAAGTTTGTCTGGGTACAGGGTATTTTGGCTTTATTGGCAGTATTTTTTTCGGTAGATTATTAAATGCTACTTAAAACCATACAACGTAATTCGTTCAAATATGGAAAGTTGTGTCAAGTATAATAACAATAAATGTGAATAATAATATAGAACATAATTCAATACTTTAAATTTAAAAACTTCAATCGCATGCTAAAAAAATTAAATACAGATAGAGAAGCTGTTCTTAAAAACGATTTAAAATCCATAATGAAAATGGTTCGAATTTAATAAAACTTCAGATCATGGAGTACGATGGCATGGGGTACACGATATGAAAAATAACTCAGTACAAGAAATACATACGAGTATATACATACATATATGTGTATGTGTGTTCATTTTCAAAGCTTATTCAATGCTGATGGCTGATAAAATTCTTCTTCAGCATTTACAAAAGCAATCGTTCTTTGCGCTTCCTTTTCAAAGAGTTCGCGCCACTTCTTATATTCGTTTGAAAAGTTCAATGCGTCTTTAGTCTCATATTCCTCGAATGGACCAAATGTCAAATAAAATATATCATTTATCACATTAATGCTCTTCGGGTTTAAACAAAGTCTTATTTCCTTTGCTCGATGATCTTCCAACTCTTCTCCCAGTTCTTGTATTATTGCTTGTCTCCATTTTCCAAGTTCTTTGTATTTTTTCAATGCTCCTTGGCTACAATTAAAGAATGTTTTGTATTGCAAACTAAAATTGTGTAAATGTTACCTTTTGCTATTGTTATACTCTTCTTCCGTACACTTCTCTATCCAGGTGTATATAACCAATAAAGCCAAGCGACGAATGTCAAAGGTAGTGTCCTTTATCTGATCCCAAAGTAAATTGAATATCGGCAAAATATCTGCCTCAACTCTATATGTCAATCTACAAAAATAGTGCGCGACAGATATTATTGATAGCTGGTTGTTCGGAGACTGTTGCCGGAGATTTTTTAATCGTTTCATTAAGGAATTAAAGGAAACCCATTTTGCTACAAAAAGCTCATAAATCATCTTAACATTTAGTTCGTCAAACTGGGCCAATACCAAACTCCACCATTCTTCTTCCCATTCCTTTGAACGATTACTCAAAGCATAGGGCATTTGAATGGATACCAAAAACAGGCCAATGCGTAATTTAATTCTATGATCCACAGAATTGCGACAATATTTCGGAGTTGTCATTGTGGATTCCACGTGTAGACGGACTAATTCGGATATATACTTCTTATGATTATTAAGTTTCCAAGGCGATAGGTTTGGCCTGTCCCTGCAAAATGCGTAACGAAAAAATATAAGTTTTTGAGGCATGGTAGTAACAACTAAAAATATATTTAAGAAACTGTTAGCGATATACAAAACCTACAACTTGTATAGGATCTACGTTAAATTTGTTGCTGGCCGATTTAATAGAAACTTGTACTTATTGTATAGGTATTTAGGTAACGAGCCAGGAATCCCAGTGTGAGTTAGTTGCTGAGTAGGCACTCGGTTCGAATCACGGAGCAGCAATCATCTCGTAAGCATGATTTAAAATTACTTGTAGTCTTAAAACTCTGTAATTTATATAAGTTATATAAAATTTGAAACTTCCGTGTTATGGCCAAATCTGCGAATCCCAGTATAGAAAGCAACAGGAACGTATTGAGTCTGTTCAGAAGCAATTCCTTCTTTTTGCTCTACGTGGTTTAAGCTGGGATCCCAACCTCCGCTTGCCATCGTACTCTAGCAGGCTGATGCTTATAAACCTTCCTTCTTTAGTTAATCGTAGGACTGTTCTTGGAGTAGTTTTTCTCCACAAGTTGATTATCGGTGAGGTTGACTCCTCTTCCCTCTTAGGTCGCCTTAATTTTTCCGTTCCTTGTAGACCAACAAGGAATTATTTGCCATTCGTCTTGTCTAGGTGCACAACCGATTACGCTGCGCACAATCGTTTTCGAGTCATGTGTTCCAATTATAATGAGCTTTCTCATTTACTTTCAACAGAACTCTCTCTTTATTCTATAAAAGTTCTTCTTTATAGTTATCTCCGTGGAAATCTCTGACCACATATGGCTGTGAATCGGGGCATAGCTGGCCAACTGGCAAATAAAATTCCCCCAACGTGTCAGGGGCATTTATAGACGTTATTGTACAGCTTTTTTGTAGGCTTTCTTATATTGTAAGTTGAGACTTTGTTATATTAATCATATTTGTATTTTTAATTTTAAATCTTAATATATATATAATATGTTAATACATATATATTGTTTTTGAATAAATCGACAGAACTACTTGTTGATTTAAATAAATAAATAAAAATAAATAAAGTATATATATTCTGAATCAGCATGACGAGAGAAATCGATCTAGACATGTCCGTCCGTCCGTCTGGATGAACGCAAGGATCTCAGAAACTATAAAAGCTAGAATAACCAAAGTTGGCATCCAGATTCTCCTAGGTCCGAGTAAGGACGAGTTTATTTTATTTTTTTTTAATTTTCCCCCCCTTCCCCCGCTACAGAATTTCGTCAATAGCGTCCACATTTCAAATGCTACCTAAACCAAACTTTGCACATATAATTTATAAATAAATATCTACTGTTGTTTGAAATTTTATTCAATTCTGCCGATTCTAAGTTATTAGCGAAACAAATTCTCGCCAGTACAACCCCCACAAACTGCAGCAACAAGTTCGCTCTTCTTCTTCCTCTTTTTGCTGCTGCTTTGGGCGCACATAACTCAGTGACGGAAGTTTACCTGGGTAAAGCCAGGGCTTGCTCGACTGTAGCGTTCTCTCTTGTTTTTTTTTGGTATTTTGGTACACATATGCTTATCAGTAGTTTGTTGTTGACAACTGAATAGGTTAGTCACGTTTTTGTGTGTTCTTCAATTTTTTACATGTGCATAAAATGGATCAAAGAAGATGTATTAAATGTTGCCTTAAAAATAGAATAAAGTGCTCCAACGCACTTGAAATGTAGAATGTAGTGGTACAAACGCTTTACAAAATGCTGAGAAGATGTTAATGACGATGGAGTTGCAACCACGGCAACAAGCGACGAAAACATCAGTGAACAGAGAAAACAATTTTGTTTGGTAAATCGTCGAATTATTGTTAGGGAAGTTGCAGAGGATTGTGGCATATCAATCGGCTCATGCCATGCAATTTTCTCGAATGTTTTTGGGCATGAAACGTGTGGCAGCGAAGTTTGTTCCGAAATTGCTAAATTTTGAACATAATAAACGTCGCTGCTCGTGATTTTTTGGCCAAAAACAACACCGTAATCATGCCACAACCACCGTATTCACCAGATTTGGCTCACTGTGATCTTTTCGTATTCCCGAAACGGAAAAGACCAATGAAAGGAAAGCGTTTTGCCCCAACTCTGCTAAAAGGCACACAACTTTTTAGGGCTAGTTTGAGAATCTTTTGTTTAATTGCTAATTGGAGTTTAATCATTAAGGTGTTTCAACATTCAATTTTTTTTCATTATTTGTACAAATATATAATTAACTTGTATTCTCTACAAAGTTGAGCGAAAGCAACAATAACAACACCAGCTGCGAGCAGCGCTTGGCTATAACTTTCTGTTAAATCGGGCTATCAAGATGAATCTTAGATCGAATATCCAAGGATGTATCATCGATCGAAGAAAAGGGTTGGTAATATAGCAATTTCGTTACTTTTTTCCCGACTTTATCTTCTCCACTTGGTTAAATTAAATATTCTAACAAATGATTATATCGGTTATCATTCTCTTACGGTACAACTCTCATATTGAGAGGTCCAAAAACTGACATTGGCCCGATCAATTCGATCGATTTTCCTATGTTAGTTGGAACAAAAAAAGAATCTCGAAACTAATCGACTTCGTACTTACCACAAGTCCTTTTCAGAAACCTTGTATGGAAGTATTATTTCGGCGAAGAGCTTCATTGATAATTCAAATTCACATTCTTCTATAGTCCAACGTAAACATTTCCACAGAATACTGAGTGGCATAATTAAAGCAAATTCTTTTAAGATTTCTAAAAAATCCTTAGCATCAGGGTCTTCTTTTCTTAAGAATTTCAAAATAGTCGTGACTCTGTTTTACAAAAAAAGAAGGAATTTGCAAATAATATAGGTATAAGTGTCAGATTTAATAACTTACGTTGTTTCTTTATCAAATATTTCCATTTCACTTGTTTCTTTTAAATCAAGGAAACACTTACATATGTCACTGCAATTGTTCTCATATTGTGTTCTGCTAATTTGCATATCTAGTAATTTGCAAATGACAACATTGGAGCGACTTCGTAGAAGTTCTTCGAGAGTTACATCTGCCTTATGTATATCATCCCACTCCTTTATTTTTCCCCTCACAAAAAATTCAGCACATTTGGTCTTGACAAAGTCTTCCTCTTCCTGAGTTTTACAATTCAGTTTACTCAGAAAGTATGTTTGCACATCCCTGAAATTGCATTCTCCTATACTCTCCCTATTCAATTCGAACGCAGTGCTCCAAAAGTCGTAGTGTGCCCCAAAAATATTGTCTAAATACGTGTCTAAATTACATGCTAAAAAAGGAATTACGAAACGTAACCAACCCAGTTCTGAAACATTTTTGACACTCTCTAATAAACTCGTTAGTCTTTCCTCAATTCTTGGAAATAACGTGCACCTGTCGCAATTCTCAAAAGACTGTTCTGGACAAAATGAATTGCAAAACTGTTTGCTGAGGTTGCACATTTCTTCATTTTCGGAATCATTTGTTTTAGGCTCTATGTGAGGTTTAACCTGAGTATTGCGCATTGATAACTTCATATTTTGGCAGAATCGATCAAAATCCGTTAATGATAAATGGTCTATGGTTTTCTGAAATAAAGTGGTTGCGAGAAAATAATAAAAACCATTTTTCAACTATATTATTAGAATAGCCACTTACTTTAAACACATCAAACATTTTGTCCCCTAACTTTTCCCTGAAATTCCAAGCTCTTTGAACGCTCTCAGTTAGCAAGCAAAGGGTCTCGAACCGAAGAATTGGTAATTCTTCACGTATTCCTTCCAAGTTGTGCAGCCAGTACAAGAGGGCCACTGGATGCCATTTAACCGAGCAAAATGCCTCTACGAAGATTGATATTTCTTTCGTATTCGCTCCCTCTACAGCACGGTTTATTGGCAATAAGAACCCATTGGGATTGTGAAGCTCCACATTATTCGTGGCCACCAGAAACTCTTTCAGAACATTAAGGCGCATGGTCACATCAATTGAAATATTTTTCAAAATGTATTCCAACGCCGTGAACCGCAGCATTATATTTGTATTATCGCTTAACAGGTTTATCAGCAATTTGCGCAGCCACAGATGCCAATCCTTGATCGCACTCAATTCAACAATGGACGGCAGGAATTGCCTTAGAGCGCTCAGCGCCTGGTCTATTTTCCCTTGCTCGAGGGAAACCACCGTTTTAAAATATGTTATCCATTGGATGGGCTGACAATCATTCGAGCCCATACAAAAATCGACAACAGTTGTGTTTTTGAACGCATAAAAATTGTGCATTACGGCAGAAGCTGCTTTTCGCTCTTCGGGATTATCTGAACTCAAAAAATCGCGAATCATTGATGGCAGAGGGGCAGCAGTAGGGTTGTTTTCCAATTTAAAAGCAATTGGTAATTCTGGTACTAGTATTTCCCAAATTTTGCAATGCAACGAAAGCTCATTCAGAAGATACTTGCAGTCCACTTCATTCCTCTGAATAAACGATTGCACCAAGTGACAGATACCTTTCCTTAGGTCGCTTCGCGTTGGGTCGAGCAGTCTTATCATCATAAGGATTGGTTTTTTACTTATAATGGATCCCCTATCATAATAGCTATGTAACAAGAAATAGATGAACTTGATGAGTTGTTTAAGTTTGTGGTTGTCGTCTTTGTTCCGATTTATCAGATCGCAGATCATGGAGTCCAAATAAGTTTCACATTCCACGCTGTTAGCATATGTTATATATTTCTCAAGCGGTTTGGTAACTTCAGTTCCTTCAAAGTTTTCATCAACATTTATATTTTCCAATAAATGGTCAACTTCACTTAGCCAATTCGAATACTGTTCGTCACTTTCGTAATAGTCATTTTGATTTGAACTAATCAAAGTATTTTCTTGGCATGGCATTGGACCTTCAGATCTTGTTTGTATAGATAGCTGAGAAAAACCGTTAAACACACTCTCTTCGATCTCCATTGGTTGATCCCCAATACTCGCATTGTTGTTTGAATAATCACTGAACAATGGTGGCAATATTTCTACACTTGTCACCTCTACCTTCGTTGAAGGCTCAATCTCAGAATCAACTTGAATTGGTGCATTCCCACTGCATTTGCCATCACTTACTGTTGTAGCATACCGGACAAAACTTACTTTCGTTTCATCCATTCTTTTTTCGCCATCGTAAAGCATTAGCTTACATGGGACAGCAGTTTCGATTGATGAGTTGGGACCATCATATTTTGGAACTTTGTAGGCCAGAATGCTATTCGTCTTTAGTTTCTTAAAAGTTGTGTTAGGTTTGATAATCGCTGACTCCCAATTTCCTTCCTCATTACACAATTTAATCTGATAATCTCTTTTAACATCAGAAAGCAAGAGAGACACATCTTCACCTTCAAATGATAATTTCTCGTTGAAGCACCGTATAATGCTTACTGATTCGCTCGCATTGAGTATTCCATTTGAGAAAACTGTTTCACAGATTTTGCGCCGATTCTCGCCCGCGACAGTAAAGGCAGTGAATGCTAAATAAACCTATAGAAATTACAAATTCAGATCTCAGCAGATCTCACTAAGGTATATATTCGTAAAAAGAAACACAAACTCACCGTCTCAGCCTTGCCGAATGGCTGTGTAATCACATCATCCGGTGGCAACTGAACCAATTCTGGAGTTATACTTTCCTTCAGTTTCTGTAAATTTTCTTTGATGTCCGCATACTTTGTCTTAGCAATGCAATAATCGGCCAATTTAAATGTGAAATTCATTCCTTCAATAGTCATCACCCGAACCGGCTCAAAATTGAAGTTTAAGTCTGGCTTCTTTCTCTTTCTTCTTTTTCCGCCCACTTCAGAATTGGGAGCAATGCCAATATACTGCAGCGTGTTTGGCGATACGAAGTATCCATCGAGACCTTCATACTTTTGAACCAATTGGCAAACAATCTCAACCTCAGTCTTAAATGGCTCAGTAGTTTTTAATCGTACTTCTGAGGCGTTTAGCGGAGCCCGAAGCCCTTCCCTTAAATAACGAAAATGATAACGTTTAGGGGGCTGGGCGGTAATCTCTAAGGTGGCGGGAAACATTATATCGAGCGGCTTTTCGTAATGTGTAGCATCTATAAATATATATGTAAATATTATGTATTGTAATCAATTGTCCGGATATTTAATAGGACGTTTATACCCGTCACTGAGAAGGGCGACGGTATATTGATTTTGGTTATTTTTTTTTTTTTGGTAAGAAACTTATTGTGTCGAAATAATTAAGTCTGGTTAGATCTATTAATATGAATGTTACATAAGATATTCGTTCGCCAGGAGGATAATAATAATAAATAAATTTAAGAAGAATTATTGATAACAACATTTATGATATATATATATATATATATATATATATATATATATATATATATATATATATATATATATATATTTATATTTTGACACGATAAGTAGAATCTTGCCCACAACTTTTCCGTTCAGCATAGAATCAAACGGAAACAAATTCCATTCTTAATCATTCAACTCGCAAAAGCCATTCTATTTCTTTGAAATGTGATTCATAGTCAAGATTATAGACCGAGTAGCATATGAACCATCTCGATAGGCTCTAATATTTGTGTAGTATGCTGTTTTCATTTACATAGCAAGTTGTTTATCTCTCGCTGCTTAAATATAGTGCACGAATGTCAATTGCTTTAAGAATATTCAAATAAAAACATGTTCATTGCATTCAATCACTAATGTTAAGTGCGTGCAAACTTTGTAAGACTAAGAGAATTTCACACGATATTTTAACATATAATAATGTTGAATCAATGAAAATATAGACACATAAGACACGATCCGAGGTGCAACGCTCCTCCTTCTCCAGCCGCTGAATTGTTTCCCTACTCTCCACAATTCCGTATATCTCTTGCCCTTTTTCAAATTGTATCAAAATCGGGCAATTCTAAGAAAATTGATAAACAAAGAATTTCCTAAATAACTTGTGAATTACAGTAGCGATACCGGGGTAAACGCTCTTAAGAAGTGAGGAATACATATCTCACAATATAACAAATGTATACTGTTTGGATCTTCAAACGCTTTTATCGCGACTATCGTTCTCCCTTCACTGCCACTCTTAAATTGGATCGTTTGTGTATTTGCAAACAAAGCAAATAACTTTCTGATTCATTCTGACTCAATGGATTCGCTGATTCCTTTTGTTATCTCTTTTGCTTAAAGCTTTCGAGTTTTATTTTTCTGCGACCAACCTTCATTCACATTTATCATATCATAACACTCACGTTGATCAGGAATAATTTTTATTAGTAGTTGCTTTAAAAAGGTCCATATCTATTGGCACCACTCCGTATATCATAAAGGTATTAATATTGTATAATATTTATGTAAGCAATTCAAAGAAACACAAGGATTTATTGCAATGGGTCTTTCTTTGCTATCACTTTTCAGTGCTCCTTCCGATACGATCGACCTATTCGCGACGACAAGCTTTAGAATACTGAAAGCACCTCTCCTACGACCCATTAGAGCTAGAGCTTTTTCGTTTCTATAACTTGTTAAAACGCGATGACGCAATTAAGTGTCCAACTATCTGCTTCTACTCCCCACTCTACGTTATACAAATGTATTCCATTTTGTACTATACATGTAAAATGCAACAGGCAGAAGGAGGCGTGGCAGACCCCACAAAGTATATATATTCTTGATCAGCATGACAAGACGAGTCGATCTAGCCCAGTCTGTCTGTCTGTCAGTCCGTTCGTCCGTATGAACACCTGCGTTTCAGATACTAAAAGAGCTAGAGACACCAAATTATGTGTGTACGCTACACGTGTTTGTTTTATTTTTTTGATCATTTATTTAATTAAATTGATTACATTTTTTTAAATAATTTTTTTTTTTCCTAATTTTCCTTGTTTGTGGAGAGTACAGACTATTTGACTGTCGGGCTTGCTCGACTGTAGCGTTCCCTATTGTTTTAAAATCTAGTTTTTAGTTTTAGAAAAAATTGCTGTTTTTGTTATCTTACTATTTTTGGTTGAGTCTACCAAAAATGTTAGGCTAATACAATTTTTATACCCTGTACCCAAAGGGTACAAGGGTATATTAGTTTAGTGCGAGTGCACATGGAACACACAGAAGGAGGCTTGGTAGACCCCACAAAGTATATATATTCTTGATCAGCATGACAAGCCGAGTCGATATAGCCATGTCCGTCTGTCCGTCTGTCTGTCCGTCTGTCCGTCTGACCGTCTGTCCGTCTGTCTGTCTGTATGAACGCAAGGATCTCCGAAAGTATAAGAGCTAGAATAACCAAACTTGGTATACAAATTCTCCTGAGACCGAGAAAGGACGAGTTTGTTCATTTTTTCTGATCCATTATAGCCATATAACCAGGCTCAATGCACACATACATACATATGTACAAGTACACAAACACGCATAGACACGATTCTGATGTAATTGTAAATGTATGTATGCATGCATGGAATATTTTATATTTAATTAGTTAATATTTAGTTAATTAATTAAATTAATTTAGTTAATTAATTTAATTAAATTAATTAATTAATTTAATTACTTTTTTGTGGGGTGGTACAGGGTATTTAAGAGTTGAGCCTGCTCGACTTTAGCATTCCTTTCTTGTTAGAATACAGAATACGTTGACTGGATGGCAATTTATTTCCTTAGATATTTTCTAATGAGATGCTTTTGCATCATATAATCCAAGCCAGAAGTAACTCATATTGTTAATCTTTCTAGTGTCTACCAGCCTTGCTTTTACGATTTACAAACAATACAATTCAAACTATGTCGGGTTTATTTTTAGTATACCTTTATTTATACATATTTTATACATTTTATTTAAATTTGTGGCAGCTCGACTCTTGAATACCCTCTACCCACCATTTTTCCCGCTCCATTCTTTTAATTTAAATCAGCATTGGTGGAAAATTCATTCCTATGCCAATAGTGTGCCGAATTTAATCAATCTTCAGATCATGGAGTACGGTGGCATGGGGTACAGGGTATTAAAAATGACATCAATACAAGAAACACATACATGTGTATGTGTGTTCAGTTTCAAAGCTTATTCACTGCTAATGGCTGATAAATCTTCTTCAGCATTTGGAAAAGCTATCATTCTTCGCGCTTCCTCTTTATAGAATTCACGCCACTTCTTAATGTTGTTTGAAAATTTCAAATCGTCAGAAATGTTGCATTCCTCTAATGGACCAAATGTCATATAAAATATATCTTCAATCACATATTCCGTGTTCGGGTTTAGACAAAGTCTTATTTCCTTAGCTCGATGATCTTTCAACTCTTCTCCCAGTTCTTGTATTATTTCTTGTCTCCATTTTCCAAGTTTTTTGTATTTTTTCAATGCTCCTTGGCTACAATTAAATAATGTTTTGTATTGCAAACTAAAATTGTGTAAATGTTACCTTTTGCTATAGTTATACTCTTCTTCCGTACAATTCTTTATCCAGGTATATATAACCAATAAAGCAAAGCGACGAATGTCAGTAGTAGTGTCCTTTGTCTGATCCCAAAGTAAATTGAATATCGGCAAATAATCTGTCATATAGTCATGCTTGAATCTAAAAAAATAGTGAGCGACAGATATTATTGATAGCTGGATGTTCGGAGGCTCTTCCTGGAGTTTGTTCAAACGATCCGTTAGGGATTTAAAGGATACCCATTTTGCTACAAAAGTCTCATAAATCATCTTAACATTTAGTTCGTCAAACTGGGCTAATACCAAATCCCACCAGTTTTCTTCCCATAACGAACGTTTATCACGGATCACTCCAATGCGTAACAAAAACAGGCCAATGCGTAATTTAATTCTATGATCCATTGAATTGCGACAATATATCGGAGCTTTCATTGTGTATTCCACGTGTAGACGGACTAATTCGGATATATACCTCGTATGATTCTCAAGATTGATAGACAAGTGTTTTGGACTGCCCCTGTAAAATGCATAAAGAAAAACAAGTTAGTAACTTTATTGCGGTATAATGTTCAGCTTCTGAGACATGGTAGTATTGTTACTACTACTAAAACACAATTAAAAAACTGTTTATAGACTGCCACTTACATAGGATTTGTCATAGGAATTATCAGGTCTTAAAACGAGTAGAATGTAAATATTTGGGACTCTTCCTGGAGTTTTGTCACTTGAACAGTCACCTCAAGGCAGACTAGACTTTATCGCCCTATCGTTTAGACCTGTAACCACTCTTTTCATACTAAAGGAAAGCTTGTACATGTATTATTCCAATATGATATAGTGAACCGATTTTAATAAGTTTCAGAATATGGTGAGACAAACCATACAAGCTTTTCTTAGGATATATATTTGTATACCCTGCACCCAAAGGGTAATAGGGTATTCTAGTTTTGTGCGAATGTATGTAGCACACAGAAGGAGGCGGGGCAGACCCACAAAGTATAAATATAAATTCTTGATCAGGGTGACCAGCCGAGTCGATATAGCCATGTTCGTCTGTCTGTCTGTCCGTCTGTATGAACGCAAGGATCTCAGAAAGTATAAGAGCTTGAATAACCAAACTTGGTATCCAGATTCCCCTAAGTCCGAGAAAGGACAGATGTGTGTGTGTTTTTTCTGATGCGATCAAAATTTTTTTTTTTATTTTTAATACTATTATTATTCTAAACATATGTACAGAGTATTTCAAAGTCAGGACATCCGACTTTATTTTTTTTACTTGTTTTTATTTTATTCAATTCCTTTTTTTAATTTTTGTTAAATAAATGTTTTTTATACCCTGTACCCGTAGGGTAAAAGGGTATATTAGGTTTGTGCAAAGTATGTAACATACAGAAGGAAGCATCTCCGACCCCATAAAGTATATATATTCTTGATCAGCATGACGAGAGAAATCGATCTAGACATGTCCGTCCGTCTGTCCGTCTGGATGAACGCAAGGATCTCAGAAACTATAAAAGCTAGAATAACCAAAGTTGGCATCCAGATTCTCCTAGATCCGAGTAAGGACGAGTTTTTTTTTTTTTTTAATTTTCCCCCCCTTCCATCGCTGCAGATCGTCAATAGCGTCCACATTTCAAATGCTACCTAAACCAAACTTTGCACACATATTTTATAAATATCTACTGTTGTTCAAAATTTTATTCAATTCTGTCAATTCTAAGAAAAGTTATTAGCGAAACAAATTCTCGCCAGTACAACCCCCACAAACTGCAGCAACAAGTTCGCTCTTCTTCTTCCTCTTTTTGCTGCTGCTTTGGGCGCATATAACTCAGTGACGGAAGTTTACCTGGGTACAGGGTATTACACTGTCGGGCTTGCTCGACTGTAGCGTTCTCTCTTGTTGTATTTTCTGTTTTTGTGGAGAGTAGAGGGTATTTTACTGTCGGGCTTGCTCGACTATAGCGTTTTCTCTTGTTGTCTTTTAAATGCTGCACTTGAATATGGAACACCCTATATCATAAACATACATGTGCGTTTTACTCAAAAGGATTTTAAGTGCCTTATTTATTTAAAAATCTACTTTTATGTATTACATACATTACTGTCTGTCCATGAGAAACGTTGAAACGATCAGTTCCTATATTAGTTGGGACAAAAAAAGAGTCTCGAAACTAATCGACTTCGTACTTACCACAAGTCCTTTTCAGAAACCTGGTATGGAAGTATTTTTTCGCGGAATAACTGCATTGATATTTCAAATTCAAATTCACATTCGTTTGTAGTCCATCTTAAAAATTTCCACAAACTGTTGAGTGGCATAAATAGAGCAAATTTGTTTAAGATTTCAAAAAAATCCTTATCAACAAGGTCCTTTTCTTCTTTTCCTAAGAATTCCAAAATACTTGTAAAACTGTTTAAAAAAAAAATGCATTTGCCATTAATATATATGTACAAGTATGTGTATCAAATTTAATAACTTACACTGCTTCTTTTCCAAATATTTCCACATCAGTTATTTTTAAGAAGCTACTGAAATCCAGATACTTGTGAATATAAGTCATAGGCATTATTGTTTTAATTTTCGTCATTTTTAAATCATTTAACCTGCAAATGGCCACTTTGGACGGACTTCGTAGAAGTTCTTCGAGACTTATATTTTTCTTTTTTATATCATACCATTCCTCTATTTTTTCTCTGACAAAAAATTCAACAATTTTTGTCTTCACAAAGTTTTCCTCTTCCTGAGTATCACAATTCAGCTCTTTTAGAAAGTATTGTTGCACATCCTCCAAATTGTCGCATTTTTCCAGAAACTCTATTAGCGACCTGTATATTCTGAGCCAATAGTTAACGAATTCTTTAACACAGTACCCATAAGTGGGTAGGTGTACATATGTCTCTAAATCGCGTGTGATAAGAGAAATTACGAAACTTAACCAAGCCTGTTTTGAATCCTTCTTCACACTCTCTAATAATTCGGCTTGATTTTTCTCAATTTCTGGTTGAAATATGTCCTTGCATTTGCAACCCAGCCCAGGGTATAAAAACTGCATATAATTATGTATATTAAGTATTTTTTCCCAACTCATCGGAAATCCGCATCTTCTTTCCTCTGGAAGCCAGCCGCACGACCGATTAGGAAGTGAGTGGACAAGCATTTTGGTTATTTTAGACACTATTCCAGAGGTCACCCGACAATTAAACATTGATACATTTATATTTTGGCAGAACTCAGCAAATTCCGTAAATGATATATGGTCTATGGTTTTCTGAAATAAAGTGGTTGCAAGAAAATAATAAAAACCATTTTTCAACTATATTATTAGGATAGCCACTTACTTTAAACACATCAAACATTTTGTCCCCTAACTTTTCCCTGAAATTCCAAGCTCTTTGAACGCTCTCAGTTAGCAAGCAAAGGGTCTCGAACCGAAGAATTGGTAATTTTTCACGTATTCCTTCCAAGTTGTCCAGCCAGTACAAGAGGGCCACTGGATGCCATTTAACCGAGCAAAATGCCTCTACGAAGGTTGATATTTCTTTCGTATTCGCTTCCTCTACAGCACGGTTTATTGGCAATAAGAACCCATTGGGATTGTGAAGCTCCACATTATTCGTGGCCACCAGAAACTCTTTCAGAACATTAAGGCGCATGGTCACATCAATTGAAATATTTTTCAAAATGTATTCCAACGCCGTGAACCGCAGCATTATATTTGTATTATCGCTTAACAGGTTTATCAGCAATTTGCGCAGCCACAGATGCCAATCCTTGATCGCACTCAATTCAACAATGGACGGCAGGAATTGCTTTAGAGCGCTCAGCGCCTGGTCTATTTTCCCCTGCTCGAGGGAAACAACCGTTTTAAAATATGTTATCCATTGGCTGGGCTGACAATCATTCGAGCCCATACAAAAATCGACAACAGTTGTGTTTTTGAACGCATAAAAATTGTGCATTACGCCAGAAGCTGCTTTTCGCTCTTCGGGATTATCTGAACTCAAAAAATCGCGAATCATTGATGGCAGAGGGGCAGCAGTAGGGTTGTTTTCCAATTTAAAAGCAATTGGTAATTCTGGTACTAGTATTTCCCAAATTTTGCAATGCAACGAAAGCTCATTCAGAAGATACTTGCAGTCCACTTCATTCCTCTGAATAAACGATTGCACCAAGTGACAGATACCTTTCCTTAGGTCGCTTCGCGTTGGGTCGAGCAGTCTTATCATCATAAGGATTGGTTTTTTACTTATAATGGATCCCCTATCATAATAGCTATGTAACAAGAAATAGATGAACTTGATGAGTTGTTTAAGTTTGTGGTTGTCGTCTTTGTTCCGATTTATCAGATCGCAGATCATGGAGTCCAAATAAGTTTCACATTCCACGCTGTTTGCATATGTTATATATTTCTCAAGCGGCTTAGTAACTTCAGTTCCTTCAAAGTTTTCATCAACATTTATATTTTCCAATAAATGGTCAACTTCACTTAGCCAATTCGAATACTGTTCGTTACTTTCGTAATAGTCACTTTGATTTGAACTAATCAAAGTATTTTCTTGGCATGGCATTGGACCTTCAGATCTTGTTTGTATAGATAGCTGAGAAAAACCGTTAAGCACACTCTCTTCGATCTCCATTGGTTGATCCCCAATACTCGCATTGTTGTTTGAATCATGACTGAACAATGGGGGCAATATTTCTACACTTGTCACCTCTACCTTCGTTGAAGGCTCAATCTCAGAATCAACTTGAATTGGTGCATTCCCACTGCATTTGCCATCACTTACTGTTGTAGCATACCGGACAAAACTGACTTTCGTTTCATCCATTCCTTCTTCGCCATCGTAAAGAATGAGTTTACATGGGACTTCAGATTCGATTGATGAGTTGGGACCATTATATTTTGGAACTTCGTAAGCCAGAATGCAAATCGTTTTTAGTTTCTTATCGGGTGTGGGTTTGATAATCGCTGACTCCCAATTTCCATCCTCATTACACAATTTAATCTGATAATCTCTTTTAACTTCAGAAAGCAAGAGATGCAGCAAACCCTCGCCTTCAAATGATAATTTCTCATTGAAGCAGTATTTAATGCTTACTGATTCGCTCGCATTGAGTATTCCATGTGAGAAAACTGTTTCACAGATTTTCCACCGATTCCCGTCCTTGACAGTAAAGGCAGTGAATGCTAAATAAACCTATAGAAGTAATAACTTGAGAACTCAGCAAGAAAGGGATATATTAAGGAATATATTCATACAAAGAAACACAAACTCACCGTCTCAGCCTTGCCGAATTGCTGTGTAATCACATCATCCGGTGGCAACTGAACCAATTCTGGAGTTATACTTTTCTTCAGTTTCTCTAAATTTTCTTTGATGTCCGTATGCTTTGTCTTAGCAATGCAATAATCGGCCAATGTGAAAATCATTATTCCGCCATCAATGCCCGTCATCCATTTGCAAATCGGCTCAAAATTTAAGTTTAAGTCTGGCTTCTTTCTCTTTCTTCTTTTTCTGTCCGCATCGAAATTGGGAGCTTTGTCAATATACTGCAGCGTGTTTGGCGATACGAAGTATCCATCGTGACCTTCATACTCTTGAACCAATTGGCAAACAATCTGAACTGAACTCTGAAATGGCTCAGAAGCTTTTAATATTACTTCCGAGGCTGTTAGCGGAGCCCGAAGCCCTTCCCTTAAATAGCGAAAATGATGACGCTTAGAGGGCTGGGCGGTAATCTCTAAGGTGGCGGGAAACATTATATCGAAAGGCCTTTCTTAATGTTCAGCACCTATTAATATATACGAGTATTTTAAGCATTTGCCCTCTTTTTCGGTAAGAATCTTTTTGTTCTTCACTCAAAAGTGAGACGATATTGTTTGTGTTTGTATTTGTGTTTGTTTGTTGCACCTATGAGGAAGAAAAGTAGACCACATGTTATAGGAATCAATATTAAAACCTCTTTGCGAGGTAAGAAACTTATTGGCGTAAGTAATACTGTATCTTCCTAAATTTCCCATATCAATACAGTTGCGAAAACGAATTTAGTATTTTGTAATAAAATAAGTTGTCAGTTTTTGCAATGTTAAAAGAATTAAGTTGACAGTCCCGTATCATGCGATCGGGGCAGTTCGTTGAGCAACGCCATGAAGGCAAGACATACTATATAGTGAATAATTTCCCTACATTTTGAACAGTTAAATACACTTTTTATTTGATCAACATTGTGGTTTTGTTGTAACGGTGTTTTTAATGACGTTCGGCTTGGAAGTGGCAAAAAAAAACTATAGACACCAGCGAATCTCGTGCCAACCACTGAATCTTGCTAGAGCGACAGGTCGTTCGAGCCGGATATATAAATATATTTTCTGTTACAACAGGTAACGATAACGTCCTCCGGGACGCAACATGGTCCTTCGAGCCGGATATTTAAATATATTTTCTCTTACAACAGGTAACGATAACATCCTCCGGGCGCAACATTGTCCTTCGAAGCCAACAGAACGGCACTTGGGTTGCGTATAAAGCGACGCTTGATTTCATCAGAAATTCCTGGAAGTTGTGTATGTATTGCTAAGCACGAACTCGGACATACACACATACTGGAGTCCACACGTATACGCACATACTCACATGAACGACGACTATTGCGTGTGTATGTATGTATTGAGTGTGCAACGGAGAAATCGACAGCAAAGCGCATTACAAAAATTGAGAGCTGTGGTATGCATGTACTGTTAGCTGCCCTTGAACAGACTCAAGCATAAAAGTTGTATGTATACATGTTTTGATTGACACGTACATATATTTGGTGACATTATTGGTGGGAACGATTGGAATTAGTGGAACATTGTGACGTCATACGATCAATGACAACAATGATGGCAAAAACGCGTTCCAACAAGAAAAACCACAAGGCTGGAAAGGTTGCTCAGCAACATCCAATTATGGACACGCCACGTCCAGACGCGAATATTGGCAAGCAGGATGGCACACTTACACAATTGGACGACACTAAGGACACTGTGATGCCAAACAAACATTTGCTATTGCCTGCATCAACTCCAAAAGGGGTAATTATGTTGATCGTCAATCAGGTGCTTAGCGTTCAACATTCTCACACATCATCCAAGGTACAACGAATACAGGTACAAATGGAGTTTTTGGAAAAATCGAATATCAGGAGAAAAAACTGGAGCTAGAAAGACGAATGCAGATGGCCCAAGTGGACTCAAACAGCCTTGAACAACAAAAAGATGGCTCCAGCGATAATAACGA